GCAGAAGGTGGGTGGCCTCGGAGGCTGCGGGACTCGTCGGCCAGCCTCCCTGCCGGACCCCCCGACCCAGCTCGGTGCCTGCCTGCGGAGAGACAGGGACCTCACGGGCAGCCCCGCCGCTGCATCTTCCGGCCTGGCGCCCCCATCCCTCGGGGTTCCACGGACGCTGGCTCGGAGGGAGCGGGAAGGAGCGTGGAAGCACGCTGTGGCGGGGCCCCGTGGGCACAGGGTGACCAGGCTGTGGTTATGAGCCTCGCTGCCGGTCAGGCAGATGCACGTCCGCGGTTTGAGGCTGTGGTGCCTCTGCTGGCCCTGGCAGTCAGTGCTCCAACTCCGACAGTTGTGTGAGGCTCGGGGGTTCCCCACACAAGCAGCCCGTGGCCAGAGAAGCCGGGTGGGCCTCCCTCTGACAGTCCCCACTCCAGGCCAGCTCTCCGCTTCCCCCGCCAACCCAAGGCACCCCACTGCCACGAGTTATTTCGAGCACCTCAGGCAGAGCTGGGGTGGCATCGGTCACCCTGTAGGTCGGAGCGCTGGCATCCAGTCTGCTCTGGGGTCAGAGGGCGGCGGCTGCTGGGCACCTGGCAGCCCTCCCGGAAGGGGTGGAGGAGACACCCCCGGGCCCCGGAGATTCTGGCTGATGTCACACAGGCCGGCCAGGCCGGCATGTGGAGGCATCCCTCATCCCACTCACCTGGGACTTGCCGAGCCCGCACTGAGCTGAAGGCACGGCATACGGGGTGGGGCATGCAGAGGCAGGCAGGTGACAGGCGGAGGACGACACGGTCATGCCGCGAACAGTGGCAGGGGCTGGCGTGAGCTCCGCGGTAGAAGGGTGGAGGGGCTGTGGTGGTCCGGGAAGTCTTCCAGGAGGAGGCGATGTCTGAGTTGGCTTTTGAGGAGTGCAGCAGGGCTAAAGCCAGGAAGCCCGCCCCCACGGGGCTCCCAGCAGAGCCTGCGCCACCAGCCTGAGGCAGCAGCCCCTCCGTCCTGAGGAGGGAGATTGGTGTCAGGAGAACCGGCAGGCTGACCTGATGTCCCGGCCGGTGGGAGAAATCGCTGCCTCCTGGTCCCGGCATTCACACCCCTCGTGGCCCGGCCCTCCCACCTCCCTCTGCTCCCCCATTCCCCGTCTCCCCTCGTCTCCACGGCTGGGCCGCACAGGACTTCTCACTGGCCCCAGGTGTCCTCACCCCCGACATGTCCTCCGCTCCTTCCAGTTCCCGTGTCTGTACCCAACTCCACTCCGCGCGGTGACCTCGGGCCAGTGGCTCACTGCTCTGAGCTCCGGCTTCCTGGTGGGCAAAGGGAGACACCCCACTTCTCGAAGTTGTTTGCATCGCGGGCCTGGCCTCAGGGCTGCCCTGGGTAGCTGTGTGAGCCGAGAGGGAAGCCGAGGCCACGTTCTGGCTTGGCGCCCTCCCCTGATGGAACCCTGGCCGGGGCCACCCTACTTGGCACAGAGCAGGTGCTCACACGGTGGCCACCCCCTTTCTGGGGTAGGGACCGTAGGGCAGGCAGCTTTCCCCAGGACCCGTCTCTGCACACGAGGTCTTGGGGCTGGCCTGGCCCTCCCAGGTCCCGGGCACACCAGCGCTCTCTGGCAGCAGCCCTGGGCTGTGGGGATCAGTCACAGTTCCCTTCCTCCAACCCAGGCTTCCACTGAGCCAGGGGCTTCGCCGTCTGAAGCTTCTGCAATTCTGGGGACCCTCTTAAAGGAAAAGAATTAGGATGAGTGCAGTGGCTCACGCCTGGCGTCCCAGCACGTTGGGAGGCCGAGGCAAGATGGTGAGACCCTGGCTCTAGAAAACGCTGAAAAATTAGCCGGCCGTGGTGCTGGTGCCTGCAGCCCCAGCGACTCAGGAGGCCGTCAGGAGGATGGCTGGAGCCCAGGAGTTCGAGCCCGCGGTGAGCTGTGATCGTGCCACTGCCCTCCAGCCTGGGCGACGGAGTGAGGCTCCGACTCAAGGAAAAAATTAGTCGCCTATGGGGTCGTGCGCCAGTGGTTTTAGCCACTCTGGAGGCTGAGGCAGAAGGATCGCCTGAGCCCAGGAGGTCGAGGCTGGGGTGGCCGTGAGCGTGCCCCTGCGCTCCTGCCTGGGCCAGAGCGAGACTCTGAAACGCCACCATCAGCAAAAAAGAATAAAAGGAAAAACCTACATTTCCAACTAAGCCGCAGGCCGGGGTGAGCTGCGTCCAACCCCTTCCGCGTGCCTGTCGTTCCCCGGAATCCAGAGGAAACCCATTTTTCCTGGAAGATCGTGACCAGGCCCGCCTCCAGTGCCACCCGACAGGAGAGGAGTCTGGACCCAGGGGGAAGCTGCTGGCAGAAGGAAAATTGCCCGGAGCCCAGTGGCCTGAGGCTGAGTGGCGCCTGGGACGGGGCACTCGGGCCCACCGGGCCTGCCCTCTTCCTCGCCCTCATGGGCAGCTCCTGCTCCTCTGCAGACTTAGTGCAAAGGCCTCCTCCTCCAGGAAGCCTTCCCCGACCTCTCCCCACGCCTGGAGGCGTTGGGGGCGTTCCCCAAGCCCCAGATGCCCCCCGCCTTGCTCCCGGCCTTCCCCCATCGGTCCCGGCAGAGAGTGGGTGCTCAGCTGTGGCGGGAGGGGAGGGGAAGGAGGGGTCGCACGCTGGGGGGCGGCTAAGGGCTGCAGGTAGATTCTGTGTTGGTGCCTCATCTCGGGGGCCGGGGGCACGACGAAGCCCCGTGCCCGGCGAGGGGCGGGCCGCTGTGCCCTGCGGGTGCCCTGACCTAGGCCCTCCACGTCCCTCCCAGTGCCCCAGGATCAACGGTGTCAAGGCGCACACCAACAAGAGCAACCGCAGACAAGTGACCCTAGACCTGCAGATCTGGTGAGCCCTCCCGCCCGCCGGCTGGGGCTGTGCTTCGCGAGTGGCAGGGGACACCCCGTGGCACAGCCAGCTGGGGGCGGAGTCGCGCGTCCGCTCTCTGACTTGGGGCTGGCTCCCCTCCCGAGACCCTCGCCCCCACCTCTCCTGCCCTGGCACTCTCTGAGGACCAGGGCCCGGGCAGCGGGCTTGTGTGGGTGCCGGTGCCAGTCACTTGGAGGGTCAGGCCAGCTGACCCTGAGGGAGAAAGTGTGACGAGAAGGCGTGGGAGGACAGACGGGGCTGGTGGGGTTTGGGAAGCCCCAGGCGCCGGCTGCAAGGCCAGCTGGAGACCTGGGCTCTGGGCATCTCAGGAAAACCAGAGGCTGCAAAGACTCGCAAGCCATGAGTACAGGAAGCCGGGCAAGGACACAAGGGATTCAGATCAAATTCCTGACAGCTTGAGTCAGGAAGGGGGGGTTCAATCCCGGAAACCTTCCTGGAGGTGAGATCTGAATTGTGCTTTAGGAGACAAAGGACTCGCTCCTGAGGCTGTGGGTGCTGCCGTGCCTTTCTGGTGTCTCACAGTTCGTGTCCTGGCCCAGAGGCTGGCACTGAGAGCGCACTGGAAAGACAGCACCTCTTTCTGGGGCCACCTATGTGGGGGCAATGTCTGTGTTGGGGTGGTGACAGGCTGTCTGCGCTTCGGCCCCGGGCTCGCCCGCAAGATCCCTGCAGGGGTGGCTGGGACACGGCAAGGTTACCCGACCCACTTGGCCACCCCGGCGGCCCGAAGCTGCCCTCCCGGCCTCCTGCGTGCCTCGGTCCCCTTCAGTCCTGTGACGAGGGCTTCCGGGCTTTGCCTCGAGGACTCCACCATGGGCTCCCTGTGTCCCCCAGCGGGCTCGACCTCCCGGCCCTGACACCTGGGGCCTGGCCACCTGCGCCCACCCCTGCCTGGCCGCAGAGCTCAGGCTTGGGCCTGGCGGGGCGGGCTCAGGCTGTGTGACCCCGGGCAGGTCTCCCAGCCTCTCTGAGCGGTGGCTCTGCCCCTTCCCCCCACCCTCCTCCTCCCTCCGCATTCCAGCTACATCGGGGACTGTGAGATCAGCGTGGAGCTGCAGAAGATACAGGCTGGTGTGAACGGAATCCAGGTGGGTGGGCCCGGGGCGCCTGCCTGTGCGCCCGTCCCTGGGGGCGGGATCAGGGTCGGGCCGCCAGCCCTGGAGCAGCCCCGAAAGGCAGCGATGAGAGCAAACAGAGGCAGGGAGCTGCAGGCCCGAGGTCATGTTGCCTGCAGTGTGGTTGGACTTCTCCACCGCACTCTGCCTTGGCTGCCCGGGCAGGGACGGCCAGCCCTGGCGGAGACACCGGGCTGGCCCTGGAGGCGGAAGCCACCCACACCAGCGCTGGACGAGCTGGGTGGGGGCCAGAGACTGCCCTGGCCCCTGCTGGCTGGGCCGCCCCACGCTGGGCCACGGCTGCAGGCCTCAGGCCGGCGGGAGGCAGGGCCCGCTGGGGGCCTCGGTGGCCGGCAAGG